AGGTGACTTGGGAAGGCCCCTAGGAAGGTGCAGGGTTGTCTGCTCTCCAGAGGGCTCTAGTGGAAAGGAGGGAATTAAGAGGGAGGGAGAGACCCTGGGTGGACCAGATGGCCACACCATGAACCCTCCCAGAGACTTTAGACAGAGAGAGGTGCTCCACAGCACCCCACGCTACCTCTGCCATCTCTCACACCCTCCTCTGTCCACACAGGTCAGCCCAAGGCCACCCCCTCAGTCACTCTGTTTCCGCCATCTTCTGAGGAGCTGCAAGCCAACAAGGCCACACTGGTGTGTCTCATGAGTGACTTCTATCCGGGAATCTTGACGGTGACCTGGAAGGCAGATGGTACCCCCATCACCCAGGGCGTGGAGATGACTGTGCCCTCCCAACAGAGCAACAGATACGTGGCCAGCGGCTACCTGAGCCTGACGCCCGAGCAGTGGAGATCCCGCAACATCTTCAGCTGCCAGGTCACGCATGACGGGAGCACCGTGGAGAAAGACAGTGGCCCCTGCAGAATGTTCATAGGTTCCCAACCCTCGCCCCACCCACAGGGGCCTGGAGCTGCAGGATCCCAGAGGAGGGCTCTCTCTGCATCCCAAGCCATCCAGCCCTTCTCCCTGTACCCAGAAAACCCTCAAACGTCTTTTGTCAACCAGAAATCCTGCTCCCTCTCTTCATTTCTTATCTCTCATACAATATGATGCTTCTCCTGGGTTCTCAGCGTGGCGTTGGGGGAATCCTGGCACCAGTGGGAAAGCGGCCTGGAGGAGAGGATCACAGCCTCCCAGGCGTGTCCCCTGGGGACATAGGCCAGGATAGGAGGAGTCGGCTCACTGAACACCGGTCCATCCATTCTCTCCCCCCTTCCCTTCCTCCTTGCAGCTCACCCTCCAACTCGCTGCCTGTGTTTTGGAGGGAGCTATTTCTGGCTGTGCCTCCAGATACACCCTCTGTCCCTGTCTTGGTCTGGACCTTCCCCTGACCCACGGCCTCTCTTTCCTCAGTCTGGAAATCCTACTCTAGGCCTGGAGTCCCTCTGCTTCTGGCTCTGGCCCCTGGAATGCCCTCCTTCCTCTCTGCCCAACTCCGCACCCCCAAGGGCTGGACTGTCTAGGACACTCCCACACCATCAAATTGATGAGCTCTTAAATTTGGGGCCCACCTTGATTTTTCACCTGACAGCAGGTTCAGAGGTGTGAGAAAAATAGGAGGAAGTCAGGAAGGAAACACACATG